CTGTTTATCATCACTATACATAGACAGGAAAGCGTGGGTAACAGTTAAGGAATAATCACATGAACAACAGCACAAACATGGAACGGGAGGAATTTTTTGATAATGGAAGAGACTGTAATGAAAGTATGAGAACCGTGGCAGTTCTTTTAAAATGGAATTGTGCTTGTACCACTCCAAGTTATAACAGTGCAAACAGTGTAAGTTAACAAACTTGCATTTGCTACTGTGCATAAGATACAACTGTAATTTAATAAGAATAAAAAACAATATTCAGATGTCTAAAAAACTGTCAAAAGTATAGTGCATTACCTTATAACTGCAAACATGGAATTGAAGTTCTTGCATTCTCGACAGTGGAGGGCAATTTTAATGAAATGTTTAATAATTTTCATTCTTTTGAGCTGGTTGGGCTCTAATAAAATTTCTGTGGCAACCCAAAATGTCTCTTGGTTAATGACATCCTCAAATTGTTTCAGGTGAGCATTTCCTGTTTTTGAGTCCAGCTTAAAAAGGTCATCAATGTATTCAGTAGGCTCAATGTTGCGAAATAATTCAAAGTCTCTCATTGAAAGCTGAGTTGCCACTTCAATGGTGCTCAGCTGAAGAAGAGATATTTGGCTCTCTCTGAGCAGCTCTTGGGCATCTTCATCTGAGCATAAGGTCTCTGTTTCCATATTGTTTTTCAGATAATACCTAAATATAAATTGTACAGTATAAAAAATAAAATTTAGAGCGACTTCTCTGAGGTTCTGACAGCACAAATAAATTTAACATTACCATTTGAGGTAGGCACTATCCTACCTTCAGAGATGTACAAACCAGACTCTAACACAGTGACAGAACAAGGAACAGAAGCAAAGGACAGCTCCAACTCTCAGTATCAGGCTCCAACTCCTGCACAAGACTGTTATTGCCAAAATAAAATCTAGTTTTCAAATACTTAAAGCCATTTTAATCTTTTCTTCCCTTCACCATTCACTTGTTCATATACACAGTTGTTTAGATAATAGCCTCTCTCATCAGCAAAAGGTCAGTACCTTGCCTATTTACAAATGCAGCAGTAAATTAACATTTTAGACTGACATCGATCCCAAGAAACACTGAGATCTTGATGTCATTTTTTCCCAGCTTTAAATGGAAATCATCATATTAGTAGGGTGCATAAAAAACAAAGTAGTAGGGGCAAGAAAAGGAGAAAAATCACTTTCACGATCCAAAGGAGATGACTTACAAATCTCTTTCATAAACTCTCACTGCTATCTGGCAAAGATGACCAAACAGAATTTTCTAGTTTATCATATTTCTCCTGGTCTGGATCAAGTCATCAGTCAAAAAGCTGAAACCCGTTGTGTTTGAGAGAATACTCAGAATAGTTTGCACAAGAATGGAATGATTTAGCAATATCAGTACATAGCAATAGTACATTTTAGAAAAAAGAATCTTATTGTGATACAGTAAATAAGGTAAATATCATCATTTTATAATTATTCCCTTTTTAAATGGGAACCACCACACATCTTATTCTCATTGGCTGATAGGGGTTGTGATCCAATGGCTGATTGTATTTCACTGCTTTTGTAGTGAAGTAATACCATGATGGTCCAGGAAATATGTGAAAAGAAAGGATTTTTGTGGGTGGTATTTTTTACTGGATCAATTGCATGGTTGGGACGAACCAAGACCAACTTTGGAATGCAATACACCCTTCTTCAGGTCCAAGTTCAGACCTGACAACAAGCTCTCTCAAATACACTGCATCCTTCCTCATGTCTGAGCTCAGCTCTGAAGACGAATGCACTGCATTTGAAAGCTTACCCAAGTCCATTACAACCAAAAACTTGGTCTACTAAAAGATATTACTTGCCTTTCATTTTTTTTTTTTAAATGATAAACAATATTGTCCTTGTATCGTCTGAATACTTAACAGCCAGATTGTCCAAGTACAGCTTGGTTATGTATTCTCTGTGTCAGGATAACATTGTAGCCAATACAAAAATGTCTGCAGGAGGACTCACTTCTGTGACCACAATCGTTTGAATAGGAGAAAAAGTACTGCATTTATGCTTCTTTTTTAAACTCAGTTTGAGAGTGCAGAAACAGATGCACTACCAGAAAAGCTGTTTTGCTAATGCCTGATCCATTAGGCTAGAAAGTTCCAGGAGCTGTTAGCATTTATGAGTTCCTAGCCAAATATAGTAAGTAGCTGAAGGAAACCTTCCTCCTAGTGCTGACAAATGGCACTGGAATTCAGTGTAATTCTACAATTTTACAGATGCAAAGCATCAGAAATCATAAGTACCAGAAGGCAGAAATACATTACTATCACCTTCAGGTAATAGTAATGTATTTCAGGCCTTCTTTTCCCTGCTCTAAGTGTGTCTGATATTCTAATTATGTACTGAATTGATGCATGAAACATTTTTTTCTGACATAAAAGCAGGAAAACGTAGATGTGTCAAATTCAGTAAGTGGATAATGCTCTATAATTACAGTTCAAAATAATTCAAGGCTACTCATTTGCACATTACCTAGGGCAGTAATTCTGTTCGCAAGTTTGTATACCAAAATAAACGGCTATGTTTTTAACTGTTCTCCAAAATACAGAGGCTTTTCTGGACTTTCTCTTCCAATTTGAATTAGGACACTTCTCTCCGATATGTTTTTTTTTTTTTTTTTCCAAATGCTTCAACATTAAAGGACACTAAAACCAAACCAAAAAAACCAAGGGCACATTTACCTTCCATTGAGCTGAATCCTGTCTGCTAATTTTGAGAACTGATCTGGAAGCCTTCTTTGTTTGATGACTCCCTCAGGACTAACAGACACCTCGCAGAGAGAGTAGGTCTCTGACGCACCCGTCAAGTTGAATTCATGCACAGCATGACTCACAACTTCTTTCGCTGTAGTGTCTTTGCTGATGATAATGTAACAACTCTGTTGATCTGCTTTGAAAACTCTAATAACTTGATCTGGAATATCTAAATGTAAGAAAAATACCTTTAAAATGCAAAGCTACTTCAGACAAAATATAAAGAGGTTTGATGTATTATACAGTAGCCAAAAAAAAAAAAAAAAAAGAAGAACCCCGTATGCCATAATCTTGACATACATGTTTATTAACAAACATGTAAAGGTTTATTTAAAAAATTACAAAAAAAAAAAGCACAGGCTGGATTGTAATCTCATTTAAAGTACTAAATTTATTTATTTTTCTGGTATGATCACGTGCATGCCGCAGCACAAACCACCTATTGCATTTTTTCTGCTTTGCACATTGTCACTTTAATTGACAGAAAGGAAAATCTCATAATTTGCATGCAAGCTTTCTAAAAAAACCCCCTAAAACAAACAAGCAAAGCCATACGAAAAATGAAAAAGGCAAAAAGGCTTTGAACAGCTTCAGAGTATTTTTTTCTGTTCAAGGCTGATCTATAGAACACCCCAGCCAAAAAGATAGCTCTTTATTCTGCATTTATTTAGAGTACTTAATATTTAGAAAATAACTGTTCTTTATGCAGATTATAGTAGGAAATAATTGATTAATGAGACATTTAAGTTCCAGGTTTAATTTACTGATTCATGTTCCTTGTGAACAATTTTCTTTCTGTTGAATATATTTGTTACAATTATTCAGTAATTATGGTTAATTTATTAAAATCACATCTTTCTGAGGTGGAAAAATTATGTCCGTTAAATTGGGACGGACCCTCCCCCCAGCTTTTCTGTTTATAAATTGACAACCATTCAATCTGGCACTTTTTTGTAGAACAAAAAAAAGAAAGATGGAAGATACCTTATAACAAGTGGAATTGTGACTATATTGTCTCAGAAGAGTCGGCTATCATGCCTTCTGATCTCAGAATTATTTTAGAACTAATTCTTGGAAAAACATATAATTGGCCCCCACATCAGATATTCAAACCTCTACTATAAAGAGACCTATGCTCTTTTTTCCTCCTACTGAAATTTGACCAGGCTTTACTAATTTACTGCCCCTCCGGGGCAATCTAAATCCATGGGCAGAGGTGTGACATCTTTCACACAGTGTGTGAACTCATGTTGAACTGTCTGGTCAGGGTCACAAGGCAAGGCACATGATGGCTAGGGTGAAAGAAATAAAGAGGCATCTTCAACAGATGAACCAAATATTTTCTCTATAAAAATATTTTTTGACCTATATACCTAGATTTTTACAATGACACCAGTACTCTAGTATTGGGAGACAAAGTAAATGAGGATTCTCTCTCTCTCTCTCTCTCTCTCTCTCTCGATATGAATATAGGTATCTACATAGATATAGATATAAAATTCTCTTTTACTCTACCTCCCAATACTACAGTATTGATGCCATTGTAAAAATCTAGGTATATAGGTATACAAATATAATCCTCTTTTACCATTATATACTAATAATATATATATTATTTATATGAAGACTTGACTCCTCTATCCCTTAACTTTTCCTCATTAAATGGGAAAAAATGAAGATCAGCTCAGGTGAACACCCAACTCTGAGCTTTTGAACTTTGGTTCAGCCATGACCAACAATACTTGTGGTAGAAAGTGTCATGGTTTCCGAAATAGAAGACGAGTAGTCATTTGTGATTTGATACCAGCAGGTTTACACAGCTGAAAGAAAAAAGTCTCAGCAGCAGCTGTAATCAAGGTGAAGATGGGGAAAAAAAATAAGTATTAAGAAAATGGTTTTCTAAAAAAGAAGTGCTGACTACTGTCATAGGCAGATAAGGTTCTTTGGGTAAATCTGATATCTTTTATTAGACCAACTGAAATAGTTGGAAAACTTCTTCATTGCTTTCACTAACTTTTCCACTACTGTGAAGTTTTATAGCAATACTTCTCTGGCTGGCTGAAGAGGATCCGATGAATTTTAAATGTTTCATGCAGCCGAGGCAGTAGCAATAAAAAACAACTTTTAGATAAAAATAGTTTTGTTTTTTTACAAAACTGCTCATTTAAAAGGGAAGTGATAAGAAAGGCAGGGTTGGAGAGCATTCTGAGCAATGTCTGGCTGGTGGCTTGGTATGTGGAGTGCTTGCCTAGGAAGTAGGAAATGAAGGTTTAAATCCCTTTGGATGAGAGGGGACTGAGAACCCCACTTGCCCACTGACTGGGAAGTGCTCTAGCTACAGGTTAACTATTGGGCTAAAAAAGGGCATGGTCCTTCTCCCCCAGCAGGTGCATGAGAAGGGCAAGCCTATTTTGCACAGGTAAACTGTGTGAAAGCACCAAAACTTTCAGTTATGTAGCTATCATATAGGCACATGAAGGTGAAACAGGATTTGCCCCTTAATGTTTATCCCTAGTAAAAACCTGGTATTATTGAAGAAATCCTGACAATTTACACTTATTGTGAGATTAATTTTCAGTTTTATGTTTAGAATTTATATACAGGTTTCTAGGCAGACAAGGTTCCTTGGGTGAATTTGATATCTTTTATTAGACCAACCCAAATAGTTGGAGAATAGTTATTAAGCAAGCTTTCGGGTTCAAAAACCCTTCGTCAGGTGAAGGAAGCTTCAGCAGTTGGTGTGTGCTCTTCCTGAAGCTTTCTTAGCCTGACGAAGGGTTTTTGAACCCAAAAGCTTGCTTAATAACTATTCTCCAACCATTTGGGTTGGTCTAATAAAAGATATCAAATTCACCAAAGGAACCTTGTCTGCCTATGTCCTTAGACCAACACGGCTACAACCCAAACCCCTGTATACAGGTTTCTAGCTTTCATTCTACAGAATTGTGCCAACTTGTATTTGTGATGCCATGAATAGAGTTGTTAAGTAGATAAAACTGAAAAATGAATTTTCACAACAGCCACTTTATTATTCTTGGTGTTGGCCTCATTCTGCAACTATTTTTATGTCTTTATTAGGACTAACTTGTATTAATTCAGCCCACTGTAAATGAAAGGATGCTAACCTCTGCAGCAGATCATCCTGATTCCCCCCAACCTTTCTGTCACCCAACAAAATAAATACTCGGCTTAATTATGAAATGCTCATACAGCACACACCTTTCGAATAGATAAGCAAATACTGTCACAAACTTGTTCATTTCAACAAATAAGATATGCAAGATAAAGTTTAGATATCAGTAAGTCAAAATACTTACAGTAAAAACCAACCGCTGCAGAAGCAAAAAGAAAAACAAATAAAATCCATTTAAGTTGATTAAAAAAAAAATATCAAGATCTAGACATAACTAAACTAATAATAATCAGAAGCATTAAACATTCAAAATGACTTTACACCTACTACAGACAAATCTGAACTATGAATAGGTTTTAAAAGATTAGTTAGCTACAGCTCATGACTATGGAAAAGCCTACCCAAGTTTTAAGTGAAGATGCTCAGGGAAAATGCACGGTTCTCTTGTAAGTAGTAAAAATGAATTTGCAGCAAATGCAAAGAGATTCGTCACAGATATGTATGCATAAAAATATTCATGTACACATCCCTTTTAAAAGAGATCTGCAAACTTACATAAATCTAAGTCCTAGCCATAAGGCATTTGACAGAACTTATAGTTATACATAGAACTTAGACTGGCAATAGGGAAACGTGACTCTGACTTGACACATTTACAGGCAACATACAATCAAATACCTCCTACAGTCACCCACTACTGTATTCCTGCAGCAGCAGCAATGCAGAGGGCACAAAGTTAAAAACTAAAAATATTTCGTTGAGGGTTTTTTCTTTTTTTATGATATATACTTGATTGATTTTAATGCTTATAAAAGTGCCTTCTGTGATATTTCTTCACAGCGGTCAAGTGGACAGAAGCCAAGTCATTGTGGCATGGGAGCTGGCAAAAGATGGTCAAGAAGTAGAGAGGAGCAAACAGAGCCTAGCTACTGAATAGGAAGCAAATCTATCTGTCTAAACCATTGGTGCTCAACCGTTTGACCCTGTGGACCAAAGCAGTAGCACAGGGCCCATCTGCAAACTGGGTCAGGCCTGGGTGCCCAGCATCATCCCCTTCCCTCCCTCACATGCCAGGATTGGGTCCCCAGCCCCCTCCTCAAACCAGGATTGAGCCCAAGGGCCCAGCACTGCCCTGCCCATTGGGATTGGGCACCACATCCAGCATGCAGGCCCTGGGGCTCCCCATGAGTCCAGAGTTTGGGCAGCAGAGGAGCAGTGCCACTGCCCCCACGCTGCCAAATTTCCATACCCATGGGGAGCCCTGCGGGCTGGATGACAGTGCTGTGGGCCGCTCTGGGTGGGAGGTTTAGACCGGCTGGTTTAAATACAGTTCTGCTTTTGCTTGCAGGAGCCAACTCAAAAGTTAGAGTGAAGCAGCGCTGAGTAGCAGGCTAAAGTGGTAAGGCTCTGTTTAAGGTTTTTTTGGACAGTTCAGGAACTGCCATGGCATGAACAAATGCCCACTGCATTTGACACACTGGCTTCTGGTAAAAGATGGAGGCTCCCCCCCGCCTCCATCTGCTACCTTTGGTTTAGCAAAAGTTGCAACCAGTGCTCAAATTAAGCAAATGCTGCAGAGCCTTTATTCACCGAGTTCATTGTTACTGACAATACTGCATAAATATTAAGAGCTTTTGTTTTAGGAACAGACAAATAAAAGTGGCTTAGTAGATTGGTTTTCATTAAAAAGGCATCATCCAAAACCACTGCATACTGATTTGTGACCTGGCCCTTATTTATTAGCTACTACACTGCTCTCTGGCTCTAAGCTCATTAAACAGACTCATCAGAAGAAAGATATTATTTTACCTGAAGGATTAGAAAAATCAAGAATGCTGGTTGTAGGCTGCAAAAGGTCCGGGCTGCTGGATGAAAGCGTTCCAGGGATAGGCATGATGGCCAGGCTGTGTCTGCACTGCCTTGTTCCAACAATGCTGTCATCCTGGGATTGACTTACACTGCCATCACTGCAAGACAATTAAAAAAAAATTACCTACATTTAGCCCATGCAGAAGTTTAAAAAAAAAAGAAAAAAATTACTGCTACTCTGCACGTACAAGGATGCAAAAGAAGAACAATCTAAGCACTAATTTCTTCAATAACAAAGCAGTACACAGCAGTGGCATTCATTAAAATGGTTTAACATACAGCATAATCCAGAAAAAAATGCCTTGCCGTCTAAACAATCCTTGTATAAAAAACTCTCCCACAGAAAGCAGCTCTCCTTTTGCTTTATCACCATTCCTTACTTTTATGTAGAATATTTTGGTAAAATTCAAATACGAGTACATACAAAATAGTGAGTCTTAGTGCAAAGAAATCCTCTAAGGATAATAGCACACTAGCTGCAAAAAGCAAATTACAAAACACTTACTGTGATTACCAAATATTTAAGTACTTCTACCCTGTATAGGATGTATTTGTTTGGTGGTATATAATGAAAGAAAAGTTGCTTACACTTGCATTTACATACTTGGGCATCTACTTCCATTTACACTGAAAATCTACAGAAATGGTTAAAGTGATGCTCAGCCCAACAAAGCACTGCAGAGAAATTTCTACCACGGTGGAACTATGCAAATCATCTGAACAGGACAGCTGACTGCGCTTTTACTAGTCATGGCCATCTATTTAAAATATGTATATTATATGCATATAACTTGCATCTGAAATAGCTCCTCAAAGGGGCTCTACATTCTTGAATCCAGAAGCCTCTCTGAGGGACCATGATGCTCCTGCTGTCCAGTTTTCTACCTCCAGTTCTTCCTCAGTTAAAAAGTGCTCCAAAGGATTGCATGACAAAGTACCCAAGGTCTGCAAAAAGCAGCACCAGGGATGCAGCAGAGCTGCTGCTGGATCCGCTTACTCCTGCAAAAAAGGACTCTCCAAAGCTAAGAGTTTGTCGAAAGAAGTTTTAGAATCACAAAACCATAAAGTTCCTTCCAAGTAAGAGGAAATGCTGATGTTTGTGCCTCACTTGCATGCCCTGCCTCTCTTGAATTATGTTGCTGCAATGCATTACCCAAGGAAAACATGGCAGGCGGGAGAGGTCTAATTACCAGGGATCCTGGTTTTCTCTGATAAAAAAGAATCCTCAATTTTCAAATTAAAAGTAGTAACCCAAAATCCACATTTTTCCATAATTAAAATGATATGCCACACAAATAGTGGCGTTTCATTTTAATCATGGAAAAATATGGATTTTGGGTTACTTTTTTAAATCCGAACATTGGGGATTTTTTTTTTTTTTTTAAATCAGAGAAAACCAGGATCCCTGCTCATCACATAGCAGAAGTATCAAGGATTATCAGCATTAGGCAGCAGTGTATGGCAAGCAAAACAGCACTGCAGCCCTGAGAAAACTGTAGGCCAAAGAAGAATCATTAAATATGGCCTCTCATCTCAGAAAGCCTTAACCACCAGCTCTTGCCTCAATAGGAAACCAGAATATAATCTGACTAGTAGCAGAGCATAGAATAAGCTTTTAACGTTTTACCTATTATTGAGAACAATTAGAGACAATCAGCTAAATTGTTAGGCTTCATGTATGTTACTTGCAAATTATTTTTTTTTAATTTCAATTATGAGGAAGACTGTGAGAAGCTCTACATCATGATTTAGAAAGAAAAAAGCTGGTCACATTTTGATTATCCTGAAACATTTTTTTTTTCTCATAATGAAACTAAAACTAATTTGTTTCTCATTCAAATGTACCAAGTGGGAGACCAGTTACTGTAACTGATGTATCCACATACAACTTGCTTCTATTTATAGTAGATGTGGTATTGCACAAAATGCAAAAACACACATTTATGTAGCATCAGTCATACAAAAGTATCCCAGGAGGCAGCAGTTTATTTTAATCAATTCATAAAAGTAACTTAGTGGCCACAGCCAGCATCTATAGATGTGGTACAGCACATGTGGGTAGGAAATAACAGCTAAATTTCAAGGATCAAGCACAGGGGAAGCTGAAAGCTGAGGCAACAGAATACAGTATTATTAGAAAAGGCGTGGAAAGTCTCAGAATAAAAAAGAAAGATGGATTTTTAGGTGGGATTTGAAAAGGGACAAGGATTTAATCAGTACAGACAGGCTGTTTCAGATAGTGAGGATAGAAAAATATCTAGTGTTGAAGATGTGTCAGGAATACGCTAAAGATCAGAAAAACATGGGTTACAGCCTGGGGAGAAGGGGATCAACTAAGACAAAGAATTTTGCTCCAATTCAACGGATAAGAAGCCAGTAAAGATATTGAAGAAGGAATGCTATTGTGATGCTTCAGGGCAGACAGAGTAAGTGAAAATTGGAAAATGGCGTTATGGTTTGAGTCCACTTGGAAAAGAAGGAGTAGGACTCGAGAGTAGTTTAGATGAGAAGAAAAGAAAATAAGAGTAAGCTTTTCAACAGTGAAGACAGCACAGAGATGTGATGCACACAGACAGCAAGAGTAGTCAAACATTAAGGGGAATTTGAGAAAAAATAGTGAACGAGGGGCAGCCAGGACTATAGTTTTGATGAAGGGTACTCATCAATTAGGGCATCAGTCTTGGACTTCATAACTTGAAGAAATTTATGACAAAATGGGGACTAACAAGATTAAGGAAAAGAAAATGTGAGAAAAGAAATGTCACAGGGCACGTCTACAAGTGACGTTATGTTGCCGTAGTGACGCACTACAGCAACGTAGCATATCACTATGGCGATGTAGCATCAGCGGGCACAAACCATGACACTGACGCAATGTCGCCATAGCAATGAGCTACCATGCTATAGAGCGTTGCTACAGTGACGTAACTGCTAAAAATAACCATGCGCCACCAGGATGGCGCAGTAACGGCTGTTACTACGCCATCATTTAGTATTTCCTAAAGCTAGTGATAAATGACAGTGCAGTCACAACTGTGCCATGGGGGGCACGTGTAGACACACCACACCCACTGATTATCAATTTAGGCAATGGTTTCAGGGTCCACAAACTCAGGAGGTTTTTAAGGCGTATATCTAATTAGTCCATGTGCAGCATTCAAGTTGAGATGCCATTCTGTTTTCACTTTATAGGGCTGCCAGTTGAAAGGCCTATCAAATCTGGTCATAATTACATTAACTGACATTAGGATAATGATATCACAAAATTGGGATCCATGTAATTGTGCAGTAACCTGGCATAATTCTACTTCAATACCCTACTCATTGCTCAAAGACAAAGGTCCGGTAGACTAAATACTTTTTTAGTAGAGGGGACAACAAATCAAATACGATGATGAAAACTTAAGGTTGAGACACTTTAAATTTAAAATGGAAAAGCTACTGGAATTATGTAAGGTATTCTTCATTATTCAAAAAGTGCACTGAAGTGAGGAAGCATCCATGGCTTGTTAGGAAGCTGTACTGATACACCCCCGTAATATATAATTAGGCAATTTCTTACCAAAACAGTCCCCTGAGAAGTGACGCAGTAACAGAAAGAAGACAATGTTGAAAAACAAGGAGAATACAGCAAACATTTTAACAGCTCTAGGCTTCTTTTGAGAAACATAAACAACAAGGTTTACACATAAGAGAGGAGCAAAAGTGAAGAGAGAAAAATCAGATGACAAAAACAAGCAGATGCAAAAGATCAATTTGACAATCAATGTCTGAACGTGAACTAACATTTGAAAAAACTAAACTAAGAAAAAGGCATTTCTTCGTCTTTAAAATGGCATCACATTTTGATCTCAAGTCATAGTAAAACACCCCTGCTATTTTCATAGAAATATTATGCCCTGAAAAAGTACTAAAGGAAAAGCATACCAGTTTGGTGCTGGCTAAGGGCAGGCAGAAGCTGTCCTACTTGATTAAAACAAGGAGGGACAGATAAAAAAAAAGCAAGCAAGAAAATGTTACTGAATTTCAAGAAAATGTCATAAAGGTAAGACCTTGCCTGTGCAATTAGTGTCTCAAGACAATCTGAATCCAGCAGCCTCTCTCAAGTGAAAGTGCTCGAGTCATAACTGACAAAGCACTAAGGAACAACAATGCAGGTGATAAAAGAGTAAACAGTTTGTCAGGTTAGGATTTTTCCACCTTTAATTTTTAACCTTTAATTATTGCAACAACTCGGTTCTACTTTGGTTAAAATCCTGTTGTAGTAACACGTTCATTCCAACTTAATAAAAGAGGCATTTTTCTATTTGCTAATCTAAAATATGTAGAACATGTCATTTAGATTTGCTGTCTTATCCAGAATGAGTCTAAACTCTTAAAATGATTAATAATTGAAAATGCTGCAAGTATAAGCAGTGTATCAAACCAAGTTTGGCATATAGAGGATAAGTCATCTTTTGATATATAGCACATTTGATATATTATATATTATAAATCAAAGAATAAACATTAAAGAAATATCCCAAGTTCAAATGCAGATACTGAACTGCATGCACAAAGGAAGAAAACACCCAGTAAAATCTTTTCCCCAAAACAGTTAAAAATGTATCATTTTAAAAAGGGTTTTGTTATAAACAAAAGGATCTGCAGAACCTTTAACACATCTACCCATTTTAAAAAAGAAAGCAAAATAATGAATACTTTTCAGTGCCAAAATTGCACAGTAAGATTCTCATATTCATACTATAACAATGGTGCTATGGAAAATAATGGCAATCAATCAGCTGTTTGAAATACAGACAAGCATACAAGATGATGGCAGAAAGAAAAGTATGTTAGAAAGTAGATAGTTGAAGAGAAATCACATTTTGGTTCAGTTGTATAGTTGCAAGTCATATTTGCTTCTGTTTTCTATATAAACAACCTTCACAAAATGTCGGATAATGTTACACCTCTTAGGAAACAAATTTCGACACAACAGCGCTGTTTTACCAGAACACTCTCACCTACCTAAATAGTTTTGGGGGCAAAATGCTGAAACGAGTCTTGTCTAAAATTTTCTTGATCCTATTTCTTCCACCAGATACAGTGTTTGCTTTCATTTTCTTGTTTCCTTTCTCACGTGGAAATATCTGTTCCATGTCTCCTGGCATATCTGGGATGGAGTAACGGTTATTTTTCTTTTCTGCAATTTTTGGAATATGTGGGACTCCGTTTTTCTCCTGGCCTATCCGGCTAAGCAGCTCCTTAAACACTGTAAAAGAAGGCAAGTTAATTATAATTTCTTTTTACCCACTGAAAGCTGTTCTTTAACTCTTCCTTTCATCCTCAACAATCATCACCATAATATTAATAATAAAATTTAATAATATTGTTGTAAACATGCTCACAGAAGATGCCTTTAAGGGCTTAGTTCTCTTCCCACTGAATCTGTGGAGTTTTGCTATTGCATACAATTCGAAAAGGAGTAGGCCCTAAAAAATTAGCAAAAAAGAATTGCAAAGAGAAAATATACTGCATTGTAGGGATCTTATAAATGCAAAGGAAAGTGGATTAGGAGAAATGTCATAACTTACATTTTTCTACATTAGCATATCCGGGTGCGTCTACATGTGATGGTACGATGCCGTAGTAATGCGTTACAGCAACATAGCGTCCGCGGGCAAAAACCATGAAGCTGCTGCTACATCACCGTAGCAACACATTTTCTCGGTACAGTACGTTGCTACAGCGACATAAGGGCTAAACATAACCGTGCGCCACCAGCACAGCGTAATACGGGCTGTTATTGTGCCAGCATTTAGTACTTACTTTTGGACTCCAGAGCAGTTTAGATGGGAGGAAAATAATTTTTCCTCTTTTACTTCTTTTGGAAGTACTAAAAGATGTTTAGTACTTTTGGGAGTACTAAATGCTGGTGCAGTAACAACAGCACCATAGGGGCACATGTAGACGCTCCCCCATCTAGCAAATGTAATTGCACTATGTTACCATTCACTATAGATAATTAGCTTCATAAAAGGGGAAACACTGCATTCATATCAATCAACTGTCAGTATTTATTGACTTTCTGTGTCCACATCTTTTAGGTAATGGGATGCAGATGTTTCCTTAAGCATACCTGTCAGACTGTCTGACACATTTCCAAGGCCATTTTCTTTCATCTTCAATAAAGTAGGTTACCAAATATAATCTGCACTAACTGCTCTTCTGCATTTATCAGCTATAACTGGTCAAACCCTTACACTGATACTTCCTGAAAACATTATACCACTAAAAACGTTCCACCAATCTTATCTGTGTTTCTGTTCACATATATATTGGATAAGATAAAACCTATACCCTCATCAACGTGTTTATTAATTTCCACCAAGGAGTTTATTTATTTATTTTACATCTTGGAGGTGGCTGAGATTAGACAAATGTTTTCAGCTGAAAACATATGGTGACATTCACACAATTTAGAGCTGCTCATCACTGAATTACTCATCTTTCTCCCCAAACCAGGCAGCCAACATATTCTAGTTACAATTTCCAAATCAAATTGCATGCTTTTACCACACAGCAAAATTTAGACTTTAACACCTTCATAGGAGAAATTCAAGTATGAGGACAGGGGTTCACTGATAAATTATGTGACTAGACAATGGCATAATCCCAGGTGTTTAGCACTCAATAACACATCAGGAAAAAGAGAAAGCACCTTGATATAATATTTTGGAGCAATAAAAATATTACTCAGAGCTCTCCCATATAAACCTCTATGTCCGCTGTTGTAATGCTGTAAATATAAGCATAGTGAACCAGACTATCCTGAACCTGACTATTTTTCTCTGAACAATGTAACCAGCAGAGGAAGCTGTACAAAGGGGTATGACTACTAATGTCATTTTCTATTAACATAAGTCACTGAATGCAGAGGATTTTTAAGACTGTTTTGTCCTTGTTTTGCTTGCGACAATAAACAATGTCTAAGTTCATGAGATTTTTTTTTTTTTTTTTTACCTCTACAGTGGTGTACAGAAAAAAGAAAGTCATTTAAGAAAAGAAAAATCAGCAGTGAACAAAGATAGATTACTAAAGGAAGAACATGAGCAAATGAGGCCCAGGAAGGAAAAAGACTATTAGAAACCCCATATGCAACACATTTAGTAAGTCAGGAAAGGGAAACCATGTGCGTTTTAGGGAAACCTCATTCTTATGACATCTGTGTTTGCACTGTTATTTGCACACCACCACTAAAGTCTGGTTGGTCTGACAGAGAGTGTAAAGAGGTAATTCTTCATTCTGACAATTCAAATCTAATATCATGCCACTGCTTTCTAGTTCAGCTGTAAAAGGCAGTCATGCTATGCTTCTGCCTCCCATTGTTAAAGTTGTAGGAAAACTGGATTTTACATTGTGGCAGAACACATGGCTGAGAAAAGACAGAGAAGTGAGTGGACTACTGATTCATGCACTCTGGGCTGGGTTTTAGAGCTCCATCTGTAGGCATTTTTCATCAAGGGAGAGTCAAGATGACCAATGGTCAACTGGGGCAGTTAAGCTGCTCGATGGTCGACTGAGGATTTGCCAAGGAGTCAAGAGTTGGTTGTACTTGCTCCATTCCACCTTACTTGCAATCCCTGGCCCAGGAGATGTGCCCACACAAAAGGAGGCACGGCTGGAGTAAGTCAGGTGGCTGAGGAACCCTTCCAGCAGTCCTGAGGTTTTCAGGATAGGAACATTGGTTTATTTTATATTGGATAGGAAAGCCTACTCACCAAAAATGTTTGTCTTTACTGTAATGGAAAGATGAGTATTGTTCCTCAAGATTTCAAGGGCTTTCACAAACGTAATGTTCTCAAAGTTCTGCCCATTTACTTCCATTATCTTTTAAGGGGGAAAAAATAATTTTTAGACTGAATATCTTTAACTGTCTTCAATGCTCTAAATGTACTATTTAATGAGATAAAACAGGCACCATAAAAATCTTCAGAGGCTACTATACTGCTATCTTTATGGATAGTACAAAAATAGTAGATAGTACAAAACCATTCCTTAATTTAAAAAATCCTAATACTTAAATGTAAAAGGTTCCTGTATACAAGTCTATATGAATAAACAGGCTTATAAATTACTTTTGATAGGTTATAATTACAGTACATCTCTTTAACAGTGTTTCTTAAAACAAACCATTTTCATGATACTTTTGACTTTTCCATAGTATTTTTAATTTGAAAAAACAATTCCATGTTCAAAGTGTAATCCTTCAACTAGCACAGAGTTCACTCAGAAATGAGCAAATGCCTACTATTTTAAGTCTTTTAATTTCAAATGAATATGTTCTTGAATATGCTGTAACTGGTCGACAAAGTATTGTTAAAATTACATTGGACACATGAATATTTTTATGGAGCATTACCTGATCGCCACGCTTCAGCCCAACTTCTGCTGCTTTGCTGCCTGTTTCTACAGTCTCTACAAATATACCAAAACCCTTCTCACTTCCTCCCAGGAGGCTGAAATACAGAGGCGAGTCTCTGGAAGCCTTCTGCAGGGTAATCTGCCTCCATTTTGCCTTGGCAGCACAAGCAATATTCAACAACCTGAGGTGCCCCTTCATTTTCTGTAAACAAGAACACACACAAGTAAATACAATGTTTCTTCCACTAGAACTGGAAACATGATTGATAAGAAGGATCTACAGGAAAATGAAATTATATTTTTAAGAATCCAGCTCTTAAGAAATAATCCCTGTTATTTCTTATTTAGGGCAATTGGCTAGTTACCTTAGGTGTCTGTACACGAATGCACAGAGCCTGGGAAACAAGAACTGGAAGGAAGAATTGGAAGCCCCTGCACAGTCACCGAGCTACGACGTGATCGGAGTAACAGAGACCTGGTGGGAGCTCGCATGACTGGAGCATGGTCATGGGCGGGTACAAACTGTGCAGGAAGGACAGGCAGGGAGAAGAGGAGGAAGAGTTGTGCTGTAGGTAAAACAGCTGTACGATTGCTCACAGCTCCAGTATGAAACTGGAGAGAGGCCTGTTGAAAGTCTCTGGGTTAAGGTTGGAGGGGAGAGCAGCAAGGGTGATGTTGTAGTGGGGGTCTGCTATAGACCAGATGAGGCTTTCTTCAAACAGCTAGCAGAAGGTTCCCGATCATAAGCCCTGGTTCTCATGCGGGATTTCAATCACTCTGACATCTGCTGGGAGGGCAATACAGCAGTGCGCAGGCAATCCACAAAGTTTTTGGACAACTTCCTGGTGCCAGTGTCGCATCAGCCAACTAGTGGCCATGCTCTTCTTGACCTGCTGGCTCACAAACAGGGATGAACAGGTGGGGAAAGCAGCAGTCGTTGGAAAGCAGTGACCACGAGATGATTGAGTTCAGGATCCTGAGGAAAGCAAGGATGAAGAGCAGCAGAGTACAGACCCCAGACTTCAGAAAAATAGACTTCAACTTGCTCAGGGAACTCATAGGCAGGATCCCCTGGGAAGCCAGTCTAAGGAGGAGAAGAGTCCAGGAGAGCTGGCTGTACTTCAAAGAAACTAGCAAGAAACTAGATAGACTAGCAAGTATGGCAGAAAACCAGCTTGGATTAGCAGGGAACTCTTCAGTAACCTAAATCACAAAAAGGAAGCTTGTATGTGTAATCTTGGACAAATAACTAGGGAGGAATATAAGCATTGATCGGGCATGAAGGGATGAAGTCAGGAAGGCCAAAGTGCAATTGGAGTTGCAGCTAGCAAGGGATGTGAGGGGGTAACAAGAAGGGTTTCTACAAGTACGTCGGTAGCAAGAGGAGGATCAGGGAAAGTGTGGGTCCTTTACTGAATGGGGGAGGCAACCTTGTGATGGAGTATGCTGAAAAGGCTGAAGTGCTCAATGCCTTCTTTGCCTTAGTCTTCACAGGCATGGTCAGCTCCCAGACTACTGCACTGGGCAGCAGAGTTTGGGGAGGAGGTGAGCAGCCAACAGTTGCAAAAGAACAGGTTAGGAACTATTTAGAAAATCTGGACGTATACAAGTCCATGGGGCTGGACAGGATGCACCCAAGAGTGCTGAAGGAGTTGGACAATATAATTGCAGAACCCCTGGCCATCATCTTGGAAAACTTATGACTATCAGGAGAGATCCCGGATGACTGGGAAAGGGCAAACATAGTGCCCATTTTTAAGAAAGAGAAAAAGGAGGATCCAGGGAACTACAGACCAGTCAGCCTCACCTCAGTCTCTGGAAAAATCATGGAATCCCCAAGGAATCCATTTCAAAGCACCTAGAGAAGAAGGTGATTAGGACCAGTCAGCATGGATTCACCAGGGGCAAGTCATGCCTGACCAACCTGACTGCCTTTTATAACAAGGCGACTGGCTCTGTGGATGTGGGGAAAGCAGTGGATGTGATATACCTTGACTTTAGCAACTCTTTTGATACCATCTCCCACAGCATTCTTGCAAGCAAGATAAGGAAATACAGGTTGGGTGAATGGACTGTAAGGTGTATAGAAAACTGGCTGGACCATTGGGCTTAACGGGCAATGATCAATGGCTCGAGGTCCAGTTGGCAGCCACTATCAAGTGGAGTGCACCAGCGATTGGTCTTGGGGCCAGTTTTGTTCAGTATTTTCATCAATGACCTGGACTATGGCACAGACCACCATCTTCCTCAGAAAGTGTGCAGATGACACCAAGCTGGGGACAGCAGTAGATACGCTAGAGGGTAGGGGTAGAATTCGGTGACCTAGACAAATTGGAGTACTGGACCAAAAGAAATCTCATGAGGTTCAACAAGGACAAATGCAAAGTCCTGTACTTAGGACAGAACAATCCCATGCACCAGTACAGCTCTACAGAAAGGACGTGGGGGTTACAGAGGACAATAGGCTGAATATGAGCCAGCATTGTGTCCTTGTTGCCAGGAAGGCTAATGGCATACTGAGCTATATCAGTAGGTGTGTTGCCAGCAGGTCAACAGATCTGATTATTCCCCTCTATTCTGCACTGGTGAGGCCACATGTGGAGTAGCATTCAGTTTTGGGTCCCCCACTACTGAAAGGATGTGGACAATTTCGAAAGTCCAGCAGAGGGCAACAAAAAAAATGGTTCTGGGCCTGGGGCAGATGACTTATGAGGGCAGGCTGAGGGAACTGGGCTTATTTAATTTGGAGAAGAGAAGACTGAAGGGGGGATTTAATAGCAGCTTTCAACTACTTGAATGGGGGTTCAAAAGATGATGGAGCTGGATTGTTCTCAGTGGTGGCAGATGACAGAACAAGAAGCAATGGTCTCAAGTTGCAGCAAGGGAACTTTAGATTAGATATGAGGATGAATTTTCTCACTAGGAAGATAGTAAACACTGGAGCAGGTTACCCAGACAGGTTGTAGAACCTCATCCTTGGATGTTTTTAAGACCCAGCTAGACAAAGCTTTGGCTGGGATGATCTAATTGGTGATGTTCCTGCTTTGAGCAAGGGGTTGGACCAGATGACCTTCTGAGGTCCCTTCTAATCCTAATTTTCTATGATTCTTGGAAAACCATAGAGGCAGAAAAATGAATACTGTCTACATCATTTTACTCCTGGACTTGAGATAATCAGTTATGATTTAGAACAAATAAGTTTCTGTTAAAGGTGCCTATAAATTGCCACCATGTAACACAACTCTTTTTTATATTCTCAAATCAGATAAAAAATAAGACACCAATCACCGCAAGGCAAGATACTGATTACTTATAAACCTACCGTATTTTCCAAGTTTTTTTCAAATTCTTCCAGAAAACGTGTCATAGCAGGATCTCCTTCAAAATCATTAAAATGATTGTTTACCCACAATAAGACCACTCTGGTAACCTGGAGAAATAACATTGACACAAAGGTGCTTTAATTGTGGTTCCTGTTGGTGTTTTGGAGGGAGAGGATAGGAGAAGTAGTTTGTTTGGTTTAGTAATTAATATTAAGATATAAACATGACAAGATGTATATGCTATAAACTAGGGCTATCAATTAATTGTGACTAAAGCATAAATCATTGTTTGTGTTAATTTTTTTAATGCAATTATTGCATTAAAAAATGCGATTATTGCATTAAAAAATGCAATTATTGCATTAAAAAAATGCAATTATTGCATTAAAAAAATGCAATTATTGCATTAAAAAAATGCAATTATTGCATTTAAAAATGGTTTTGGATCCTGCATCCAGTCTCCGCTCCGCCACCATCACCGCATCCTCCAGGCTGCTCCGCAGGGCAGCGGTGGCAGTGCAGAGGACTTCAGGGCAGCCCAGGCATGGACTCTGGGGGGCTGCAGCAGGGTGAGGAGGGGTGTGCACAGGGCACAGACATGCAGCCGCAGCCTGCATATGGCCAGAAACACAGCCCAACAGCATGTGGAGTAGCACACAGCAGGTAAGTCTGTGAAGGAGAAGGGGCATGGAGGGGTATGCGGGGTGCAGATTGAAGTCCCCAGAAGGAGGGAGTCAGGCAGAGGCAGGGACAGGGGCTGGGTGGTTTGTGTGATGAAACCATGGGCAGCTTGTCCAGGGGAGCAGGGGAGCTCGGGCCACTGTGCACAACCCCAGGGGAGGTCTGGAGGGCACATGCCTGCCGGATTAGTGCACAGGGCAGAGGCAGGTTGCCACTGTGCAGTGGGCTCTGCTCCCCACTGCTGTTGCCTTGAGAGCCACATGATGCCATGCTGTGCCTCCCACCACCAGGTAGGTAGGGGACCAGGTGCAGCCAGCAAGCAACTCTCAGGACAAAGGCAGGAGGGCACAGAGCCTCAGCATGCAGCCCACCTATGGCCTGTGCACAAATTTGTGGGGCACATGCTCCCCATGCCTCCCCCCAAGGTGCACGCAGCAATGGGAGCCCCCCATGCCCCAGATGAGCCGCCCATGGCTCTGTCCCATGACCCAGCCCAGCCCTGGAGCACCACTTACCCCAGCCCCTGCCCCCATATATCCCTTCCCTCTCCCACACCCATTCCCCCACACAGACTTACCTGCTGGGTGGTATTTGTGCATGTGTGTCAGCCCCTCACTCCCAAGCCACAGCCCCACCCCAGCCCTGCTGCTGCCCCTCACTCCTGACCTACAGTACCCTACATCCTGCCAGAGCATGTGGGAAACCCCCTCCCCAGACTCCAAAAGACACATACCCAACAGCCCCCCCCCGACACCTTCACAAATTCCACCCCCACACATGCCACCCCCAACCCAACCATACACAGTACTCCCCATCACTGAGTTTTTCTGCACGTAAATTTTGAGTTTGTAGCTGTGCGATTAAAATTGTGATATAATTGTGACTAATGTTTTAATTGCGCAACTAACTGTGATCAATTTTTTTAATTGGTTGACTGCCCTACTATAAACAAATCTGACATTCCATTGTTTTCAGCAGTAAGTTCACAGTCTTTTCAAAGCTCAAAACTATAAACAGGTCATTTTTACATTTTATCTTGACTGCACAATTAAAATGATGAAGTAAGGGAAAATCAAATTGGATCTGATGGCCTGTATTACTATTTTTCTTGAACCTGCACTTATCCTTTCCCCTTTTATTTGTAATTTTCTTTGCTTAATTCAGGAACCTTAAACTTTCATTCACTGTCACAGTGAATGGTCATTTCTTTAAGAATAATTTATAGGAAATACACTATAATAATAAAATATTATATTCTGAAAGCTTTTTCACTAACTTTTGATACTGCCTTTCACTGTGCTACAGAATTCTCGTAAAACTCTCATAATACAGTAAATCTGTTTCATAGTTTCATAGCTGGTAAGGTCGGAAGGGACCTGAGCAGATGATCAAGTCCGACCCCCTGCCATGGCAGGAAAGAGTACTGGGGTCAAATGACCCCAGTAAGGTGTTCATCTAACCTCCTCTTAAAGACCCCCAGGGTAGGAGCCAGCACCACGTCTCTTGGAAGTTGGTTCCAGGTCCTAGCCGCCCTGACAGTGATGTAGCGCCTCCTGATGTCTAGTCTGAATCTACCCTCTGCCAGCTTGTGACCGTTATCTCTTGTCACTCCTGGTAGTGCTCGTGAGGAACAGGGACTCCCCCAATGCCTGCTGGTCCCCTCTGACTAGTCTGTAACAGGCCACTAGATCCCCCCTCAGCCTTCTCTTGTGGAGGCTGAACAGGTTTAGGTCCTGTAGCCTGTCCTCGTAGGGCCTGCCCTGCGAGGCCCCGATCATGCGAGTGGCCCCCCTCTGGACCCTCTCCATGTTGTCCACGTCCCTCCTGAAGTGCGGCGCCCAGAACTGGATGCAGTACTCCAACTGCGGCCTGACCAGTGCCGCATAGAGGGGGAGGATCACCTCCTTGGACCTGCTTGAGATGCATCTGTGGATGCATGAGAAGGTGTGGTTGGCCTTCCCGACCGCATCCCCATGTTCATTTTGGCATCAATAAGATCCTTTTCTGCCTCTGTGCTGACAAATAGGGAGTTCCCCAGCCTGTAGTTATGCTGCTGGTTCTTCCTCCCCAGGTGCAGCACCCGGCACGTGTCAGTGTTGAAACCCATCCTGTTCTCATCCGCCCACCCCTGTAACATGTCCAGATCCGATTGCAGCCTATTCCTCCCTTCTAGCGTGCCCACATCCCCCAACACATTAGTGTCGTCGGCAAATTTGAACAGGGTGCTTTTTACCCCCTCGTCCAAGTCGCTGATGAAGATGTTGAACAGTGCAGGCCCAAGGACCGAGCCCTGGGGGACCCCACTGCCCACATCCCTCCAGGTCGAAAATGACCCATCCACCACCACTCTTGGGGTGTGGCCCTCCAGCCAGTTAGTGACCCATTTGACTGTGTAGGTGTCGACACCACAGTCCCCTAGTTTTTTAATGAGAATGGGGTGGGAGACAGTGTCGAAGGGCTTCCTGAAGTCCAGAAAGACTACGTCCATTGCTACCCCTGCATCTAAGGATTTTATGACCTGGTCATAGAAGGCCACCAGGTTGGTCTGACAGGACCTGCCTCTAATGAACCCATGTTGGTTGCCCCTAAGCATAACCTCCCCTGCTGGCCCCTCATGGACATGCGCCAGGATAATTCTCTCAAAAAGCTTCCCTAGGATCGAGGTAAGACTAACTGGCCTATAGTTTCCTGGGTCCTCCTTCCTCCCTTTTTGGGAACCACATTGGCCCTTTTCCAGTCATCTGGCACCACACCAGAGCACCACAAATGCTCATAAAGCCATGCCAGGGGGCCTGCAATGACCTCTGCTAATTCCCTCAGCACTCTGGGGTGGAGATCGTCAGGACCAGCTGATTTAAAGTGCTCAAAAATCCACATGAACAAAAGTTTAACAATGACAGCAATTTCACTCCTTAAAAAAATGTATTCCTTCCTGTTTTATCTGCTGAGATAGCTTTTTTCCTTGCAAATCAAAAATAAAAAAGTAAATGTTGCCATATGCAACAGTGCTAAATTTCCACTTACATAAAAATGGTGTTGAAACCATGGCTTGATAAAAAGTAGTTTACATTCTTTATCCCTATGCTCTCAGTTCATTTTTAAAAGTCATGTATTGAGAGGAAACACTTCTTTTAAGTATATGCTGTTTCAGAACGTCCTGTCACTAGAGTATCAACTAATATAAAATAGAAGTTAATTTCAAAGGTTTTTTGTAGACCTGCACATTTTTTTTTTTTTTTTTTAATAAGTGATGGTGACTGTCAGAGTGAACAGCAGAAAAGTAGAAAAAAGCAACTATATGAAACACAGCTGTAAGGCACAGGAAAAGTGTGTAATTTTAGAAACTGGCTTCTTCACTGCTCTGCTATTTTGTTTTAGCTCAAATCTAGTATATACATGATAAAGTAGAACTAGAGCATTATTGCCACCTTTTAAACTAATAGGCTATAAACTAAAACCCCAGACTGCATAACTTTTTCCTATGTGAGAGTACAGTTACCTGACAGCTAGTCACACCTCCATTTCCAGAAGTATTTTTATTAGTTGCCTTAATGGGTGGTACCATGGTCATAGAAAAATGCTTGATGCATTTAAAAGCTGCATTCCACAAAAAAAGTAGAAGACAGATGCAATGCATCGCCATGAAAGAAACACCTATATGCCCAAGAAATTATTTGCTAATAGAAAAGTTTTTTTTAAGAGGACTCAGTGTGTTATTTATACTCAAAATATAGGACAATATAGCAAAATATTTACGCCATGTGAAATTCATCAACATAGGTCTAGATTTGGATGCCATGAGACTTGATGGTATTTGTATTTTAAAATCAGAGACCATGTACTGTAAAGGGATGCACGGGTGTATCAGAATTTGAAATCAAACATTACATGCCTGCAACAACATGAAAGAATGTTTCCTGATGCTACTGAAATCATACATCATTCTTAAATAAATTATGCTTTGATTATTTTGGAACCATCACAATTTAGCAGCTCTGCAAGTGAGGATGCATTTGAGAAATTTTCAGCAAGAATATTTATCTGTAAGTCATAAACAAACCTTATCCCTGAGGCTATCTACTTTAAACCACTCCAAGAGCTTATCCCCAACTTCCAAGGGGCTTGAGAGAAATGTTCTGTATGTTAAAAGGAAGTCTTCTATATATGTTGGATCAACGATGGAATGCTCTTCTATTAAATGTGTGATGAGTCGCTCAGGTGTTGCCTTAAAAATAAAAAATAAAAAAAAATTAAGGGGGTTTCAGAAAACGATACACAGTTCCTAATCCTACTCCATGACACTATCCAGACTTTAGATTAGATCCATGCAATATTTTCTTTGCCTGATAAACTCTTAGAAAGCGATCAGCAAAAACAGGTTACATCCAGATCTCCCATTTCTTTCTTCCTGGACACTTTTGGCGCCTATACACAAGCGTGGAGGCAGCTCTGGCATGTGGAATTCCAGTGCGTCGGAACAGACTCGATCAATCAAATCTGCTGGAGCGTGGCAATTACTGTGCTTTAGCAGTCTCCTGTGTCTCATGTATCAGCATCCCCGCACTTAAAAATGGCAGCAGGGGTACTTGAACAAGTCATTTTTAAGCATGGGGACACTGATACAAGACATGGCAGTGCTTTAATTAGAGCAGCTCTTGGAGCTGCTCTAATTAAAGCACAACCCCCCCCGGAGCACTGTAAAAAAGTGCTCTTCATAGGAGTAGCAAGTTGCTAGACAAACGAGTACATTTCCTAGGTTAAAAAAGCAATTAAGTCCCTCTTCTAAACCAATACAACATATATAGACAGTAGATATAAAAACAGTATAATTTTTAAACAAAATCAAAAAAAAAATCTTTGCTGAACAGATCCTACTTTACTGACAAGGAACGGCTAGTATATTTACATGAAAATCTAAATCCTTTCTAATCAAACTGTTTTAGAATAGATAAAACTGAACATCTGTCCTGGGTTCTCACCATATTTTTAAAAAATAACGGTGTAATAGATTGACAAGAAAATTATTTAGCAAGTAAAGAAAAGTCACCTTAATAACTATGTGTCCTTTCCTGGTTCCACTGCGATCCAGCTCTCTGTGCTCCTTTACCATAACAATTTCTCCTTCTTCCTCAACTTTATGAGTGTTTTTTTCCACATGGTTCAGAATGCGCCAATAATCTTGCTGGGCTATGCATACAAACTGTGCCAGAAAAACATGGGGACACTTAACAAATCTGTAGTAGGTAATCACACCTCCATGCACCAAACCCGGACCCATGTTATACAGCAGTGCTAACTTACCATTTGACATCAATCCAGTTCTGTCCTGTCTAGTTCCAGTAGATATTAAATTATGGAATACAAGTGAAATTACTATAGGATAATATATTTAACAAAATGCTGTACTCTTGTTGGGCTCTGTAAGAAGCAGTCTTAAAAGAGAACTTACTTCTTTAAAAAGTGGAAATGTATATTCTCTATTTAACTGTGCTTGCTGCATTTCAGATGCACAGAAACAGCATGACTAGGGTCCTTTAACAGCCCACGACTTCAGCACAAATAGTTCCTGTTTCTCATGTGACAGCAAACGGAAAAAAAAATCTGAACTACCAAAAAAAAGAAGGAAAATTGCAACTAACCTAAGATCAACAAAATGAGGTAGAAATTTTCTTTATTCTATTTCTAGAAAAAGGTAATTGCATTAGATGAAAACAGACTATTTTTGAACCCTTAAAATCATAAGAGGGTTATAGGCAGACAAGGTTCCTTGGGCGAATCTGATATCTTTTATTAGTCCAACCCAAATAGTTGGAGAATAGTTATTAAGCAAGCTTTCGGGTTCAAAACCCCTCATCAGGCTAAGGAAGTTTCAGCAGTTGGTGTATGCTCTTCCTTGATGGAATGAAAAGTAAAGAAGCCAAGAGGGTTATATGTATATATAAACTTACCTGACAGTCATCTACTTTGGTTCTAACCACTCCATTCATATACTGTTTTTCCAGAGAAGGAGTAATCCCAAAACTATTTCCCATACAGAGATTTTCAGTTTTCCCATCTGGATAGCTGATCTCCACAGTGCCATTTAAAATAACATACCAAGAATCAAGCTAGAGGGAATTAAAAAAAAAAATGTGACTCTCGGCAAATTTTTGTACAGAAGATGTTTCATTATTCATCTCTCAGAAAAATTAACCCACATGGTAGAAAACGCATTGTTACTAAAATGTCATAAGAGTCCTTTCTTTATAATGTATGCTGTCCATCGTCTTATAAGCAGTAAGTAAAGGAGGAATCAAATATAAATTTATTTCCCATTACACAATATCCAGATGCTGATTCGTGGAGGAGTGACACTACAAAAAATGATGGGCCCCATTTTCCTGTCTGACTAAACATTTTGAAACATCTGCAGGTACTGTGATCCCTTTGACAATGAATAGGGGTCTCCTTAACTCGCAGCAAGACGAAGCAATTTTTGCAGCTTGGCTGCAGCATGAGGAGCTGATTTTGTGGGCATTTCCCCAAGGGCCCCACCCCTTGCCGTTGACTGGCAGAGAGGCATATACTGGATAACAGCAAATTCCACAAAAAGTAAATTCTATCATATAATGAATCATATTATTATAAATCTAAATATGAACTTCAAAACTAAATGTAAATATATTATAAATATAAATGTATATATACACAATATAAATAGTGACTTGTATCATAATTTATTATTATATGTAACAGTCTACAAAAAATTAGAAATGCTAATTAATGCTAACCTTAATAGAAACACTATCACTTCCTTGACTGGTGCGTTCACTTTGTCTACATCACTAGCAGACAGTAACTCTCAATCACATGATCTATGGCTGCAGCGATTGTAGCCCTGTCTTTATGTTGCAGTAAGCACTGGGACGTTCTAAAACAGCATATTATATGAATAATACACTGGGGCTTTTTTTAGTTGATTTCATGGGAAATCACAGCCGATGTACTATTTCCTAGCAATCACGGACAATGCTGTTTTTCACCGTTTCTGTGAAAACTGCAAAACTATAAATGAAGTAGACCTCTAACAATAAGGCCATGTTCTTCCGCAATGTTTTTTAAAATCTACCTGTCAAAACAGGACAGCTGGAGGCTCAGACATATGGAAAGATGTAAATGACTCCATTAATCCATAATAAACAGAAATTTCACAAGAGGTCAAAATGTGTTTTAAAAGTTTACTGCACCAAAAGAACAAGAGACCTCATTTATTTTTAATGCCAGAAATGACCTCTTCTTTCATAAGACGAAAAATACATTTTTGAAAGGGTTTTTACCAGGTGGCTAGTACTTAAACTGCTAACAGCATACTAATGTTTATCTACTATAAATACAAATTAATACCATTATATATCATGATTTCAACCTGTTAGAAGTGCTGAGGATCAAGACACATGCATCATTAAGGTACATGCGATAACTTACTTCTTGTCCGTCTTCAAGTATGATGGCTCCTGCTTGTTCTACCACTTCAAATATCATAACTGAACAAAGCTCTCTTCTCACAGACATGGTCATGTTTGCAAAAGCTGGGAGCTGATGCATAAATTCCAGTAATTGCTCTGTTAGATAAAGGAAATATTGATATGAAGATTGCAAGGCCTGGGGCCTCTAAGGTACCAACCCCCTGACAGGTATATCAAACCTCAGAGTTAAACTCACTGAAAGAATTGCTCAGTGATATTTCAATCCCTATTAGTGCCTGCGGCTAAATGAGCACAGTATGCATTTTAACAGCAATAAATGGAACTGGGCTTTTCAGTCTGATTGACTATTAAGGCATCAATCTAGCTAAGCAGAGAAACACTTGAACTTTGAGCATTTAAACATTATAACATATCCCAACTGCATGGTGATTATTAGATTGTTAATATCAGCAACACCAAACTATTTTTTTCAAAGTGTAGGAAAATAATTACAGGAAAAATCTAAACAGTCCTAGTCTCCATATTAGTGCTAAACAACCGCCAGCTCTAGCTTACAACTTGTAGAACTGTCATTTTGGTTCAAATCCTCTGCAATTTAAGTCAGCCTTTCTGTTCTATGAGAATATGATGCCTTCACCAGGATTTGGTAACAAATTCAGCAGTTTCACATAGTCAGAATTACTTTAGGCCGCCCTCATTACCAAACTGTAATCATCAATTTACTTAATGCAACATCTCAGCCCTAACATTTGAAGTATCTTGCTTTCTATAACCAATATAAGAGATCAAAGAAAAATAATCTAGTTAGGTTATAAACTCTTTAGAGCTGAAAGATCTCCAAGATACACCATGAAAAGTTATGAGGCTACGGTTTAATTCATAACGTGCTCACACATTTTTTTTTTTAAATGTCTATTCTCTGGATTATAATACTGAATGCCAAATCAAGATCTTTTTATTTCTCACCAATGTCATCATCCGTTTTATCTGCAGGTTCTTTTTCAAGGCACTCTCGTACAACGTCTCGCCCCAGTAATGGATCTGAAGTTCTGTCTATATCTTCATCTTCCTCCTCCTCTTCATCTTCAGAGTCCACAGGTGCTTCTGGGAGGCCTGTTAAATCTACATCTCCCATCTCACTTTCTGTAGCCTGAAGAAAAGAAATCTATCAGACAGCTGGTTCAATTTTGACACAGGTTTATTCTCTCTCTCAGCTTAAACCACAAAGATGAAGAGACATTGACAATAAAGTATGCTGTTACAGAAAAACTAGTATTAATACTTACTGATCACATGCACACAAACTGTCACTATATAAGGTACCACTCATGAATGGTGATCATTTCTGCTTTTTGAAAACAAAAGCAGTATACTGAATCAAATGATAATTTACCCATTAGGATCTCTCTTAGACCTTAGATGATTTTAATCACAAAGCCACTACACTTGCAGGAAGAGACAGGTCCAGATATGTCGCCAATAAATTGGAAAAATAAGAACATGCTGCAAGTGTAACTTTACAAAATAAACAATGTTCAGTCAAGCCACTTCAAACCTAAAAATCCTATGTATGCATGCTCTATGTGAAAAATCAAAGCTCCAGTACTATTTAGGCCCTCCACTGAAGCTAGATAAAATAAACGTTTTTTCTAGAAAACTAAAAGTATATTAAAAGGTATAGTTGTGTGAGTCAATATGAGAGAGAGAGAGAGACAGACTGCAAAACCCCCATTGACTTTGAGTGGACATCAATAATATTACCAGCTAGTACTTCTCCCAATGTGCTTATTTTATTGATAACAGAATTTTGACTTGCTAGGGAAACTGAACGAGGGCCAGCATTATTTTAGAAGAACTGCTATTCAACTTACAAGAAAGTTGTGCCAGCAGCTTTGCTAGTCACTGCCTCATAGCTGGCTGGCTCTACATGTCAAGTAAAAAAAATAGAGAGAAAGAGACTTGAGAGACGTGAGCCAGGTTATCCTGGGTTTATTACTGGCAGTGGAGTTTTTTGTTTAATCATTTAATAATTCAAGCTTTTTCTTTCCATTTCATAGCTTACTATATGGCACAAATAAAGCCGAAGCATTTTTATAATGTAGCAACACTAGGGATTACGCTAAATTTTTAGCCAAAAAAAGGAGAAGGAAGAGAGAGGGGGGGGGAGAGAGAGAAAGAATACATTTGTGTAATTTTAGCAGACCTTCTAAATAATGTTGTTCTGACCAACAGTGAAAATAACAGTGGCTGAAATGAAAGGTGGCCATATTCTTGACATATGTTATAATATATATTAAGTCAGGAATAAAATCGGGTCATGCCAGGTGGAGCAGATAAAACCAACTCAAACCTGGTTTTTTTAGTACTAGCCAGTGCTCAGCTGGAAAGGTTTAATTTGTTTTTTTCTGTTTAATTCACTTGGAGAGGACAAAATGGTCTTTCACAATTCTTAAGAGTCTATGATAGCAGCCACAAGTCATTTGTTTCCTTTTTACAGCTAAAAATAAAACTCCTGACAACCAAGATCAGATGTCACTTACTATCCAACAAATATAGAGAGATGCAATGCATTTTGTGCGGCCATGTGCCATATAAACCTGTTCTTTTACATGGAATTTTATCCACCAACAGTAAATTTTTATTCCATGCTTTATCCATCTTATTTATTAAAACGGTGCTGTTCAGCTTCCAAATGACCAGAAGCTACACAGCCCACAGGCTGTAGCAGGGTAGGCCATGGCCCCCTCACTGCTATAGCACAGGCCCAAAACAAACCCCTCCACTGCAACCTGCACCCACCCAGGGCACCATGTGCCCCAGGCTCACCCTCAGCTCCTGTCCTGTTAAAGTGTTCACCCCCTGGGGTAGGGGCAGGAAGCAGCAGCCAAAGGTGGAGGGGGGGAGCCCAGAGTCTCTGGCTGCTGTTGCATCTGGAGTGATGCGGGGATTGGAGGCTGGGCAGGAGCCCAGAGGCTGCAACGTAATCCCAAAGGCTGCCAGCTGGACAGCGCTGTATTAAAACAAACAAATCAAGAAGCCACCAAAAATAAAGTCTGGTAGCATTTAGGAAGTTGTAGAATCCCTTAGTGCTACAGAACAGTGTGAGAGGGAAAACCGGGATATACACAAACAGGATGTTCAACTTCTGGCCTGGAAAAGTGGGATCAACATGAAGTTGGAGGAGTTGAAAGAACAGGGTCTTTACTCTGGAGTCAGTGAAACATCCTTGCATCATCTGCAACTGTTTGTCCTCTTAAAAAAAAAAAAAAAAAAAAAAAATCTGCTTGTGTAGTCAGCTTATTATAGTAAAAGCTACTTACTAAGATATCAAACATTTCAAGTTGCACCACACTTAAAACTCAACCAATTTACCAGTCATGCTGGTTATTTTAGCTGTTTCAGAGTCGCTGGATACGTGCTAATTCATCTTGGGTTTGTGAATTGTGGCTGTGGAGGAATGGTTATACTACGATTTAAGGCGTCACCTGTTCATTCAATAAATATTGCATTTTAACACTCACTTCCAAATTCCTCCCCAGTTAGGTACTGCACAGACAATCCCCAATATGTAAGTACAGTAAAAGCTCTGTTATCCAGCATCCCCGGGGTGAGGGGATTGCCGGATACGCAAAAATTCCGGTTATCTGAAACCCACCTGCAGCAGTTACTCCCCCTCCCGTTAGACACTGGCCAGCAGGACCCCTTGGGACAAGGGTTATTCCCCCTACCTCCGGTGTCTGGTGGAGGGGACAGGAGGGGGCTTATTCTGCTGCTCAGACCCAGTTGTAGTCCCCTGGGGGCAGTGGAGAGAATAACCCCGCTCCCTGCCCCCTCTGTCTCAGGGGCCACGTTGGCCCCTGGTTGCAGCACCAAGGGGGAAGCGCCCGGCAGACCTGGCTCAAGTCCCTGCCAGTGGGACAGGAAGGGGGGAATTAAACCCCTCTCTGGCCAGACCCCCACCCCTGCCTGTCCCTGCTCTGGCTAGGGAGCAGAGGGGTGGGGCCAGCCCTGCTGGGCTGCAGCAGAGTCCAGCCCAGAGAGCATGCCAGGATGCTGGGGGAGTCTGGTTTAAGTTAAACCAGGAAGAGGTCTGGGACAGACAATGCATAAACCAGTTTGAGTCAATCAGTTAAGTCTGATACTACATTCAACCAGGTTTAACACAAACCAGTTTCAGCCATTTTGAAACTGGTTTACGTGCACTGAATGTCTGCTCTGTTACAGGTTTCTGATCACTTAAACTAGTTTGTGAATAATGTCTGTCCCTAGCCACATTCTTCATTGTTCAAATTGTGCCTTTTCAACGTTTCTTTGAATTTGTAATGCAAAGCAAAAACTTCATCGATTTTCCCTCTAAGGACCTGGAAAAAAAATGTACTTTATACAACTTCTTTCCTAGTATGTTTAAAAAAAAGATGTCCAAAATTGTCTCCATTCCCCATGTAGCATCTTAATATAGTGACAAATGTCCCCATATTTGTTAGAATAATCTAAGACAAGCTTGAACACAATCACATCATTAGCAATAAATGACAGCTCAATGCAGCTTCGCAAACCTTCTTACTTGGAGATCATGGCAGAGACCAAGAAAGTGCAATCTACTGCTTATACTATAAAAATAAGTAAAGGATTTTCTTTCTTTAATTTCCCCTCCCCTTCCCATCCCCCCAACCTCCTAACAAAAAACAAAAACAAAAAAAAGACTCGGATGAAACCAGAAAAGTAACACCTGTGCTACTGGATTATTGCCTGCTGCACTCCAGTAACGTGTAACGTTAGCCAGGATCCTATACCTGCAGCAACACTCTTATTGCAATTATTGGATACCAGTATGGGCATCATGCTGTGAAGTCAAATGAAACAGCAGCACAGGGGAAAAGACAATGACATTGGGAAGAAAGAGAAAACAGAACTATGCAAGCAAAAGTACACACAACATTTTATCAAGCAATGTTTAAATGATTTAATTACAGTTTTCTAACAGATGGAAGGCATTTTTTCAATATCCACAGATATTTCATTAACCACCTTTCTTTAATTTCAGCCAAGAAGTTAATCATATTCTTTGTTGTTGGCTATAGAAGTCTGGATTTGAACAGCATGATGTGTCACTGAAAAGTACACGGCAAAGAATACGAAAAGGGCTTTAAGGACAGGTGTTTAATTCCAGCATGGCAAATTTCAGAGAAAGATAACTGTGCTGCCTCTACCTCCCACCCCTGCCACCTACCCCAAGCACAACTGCAGGTCAATGAACTGGTCAGCTGATTGGTAGGATGGGGAGGATGGCTAGGGGTCATTTCCCTATGGCTTGACCCATCCCCGGGACACTTTGGATGAAGTCAGCTGATCCATGCACACACTAAGGCCCCAGTCTACGCAGTAGGGCTGTGCAAAGCTTCGGTCCCCGATTCAATTCGGCGGAGATTCGGGGGGCACCCCAGTGATCTCAGCAGTAGACCCGGAAGTGGACCAGAAGCACTTCCAGTCCACTTCCGCATCTGCTGGGAAGAGCATTGCCACCGCCCCCCCCCTCCCCCCGGCTCAGTGTCTGGTGCCTCCTGGGCCTGGGGGGGGGACACCTGGGCTCCCCCCACAGCTGATCGCCAAGCCAGGGGGGCAAAGGGGGGGCCTCTGTGTACTCCCCGGCGGAGCCGGAAGCGGACCAGAAGTGCTTCTGGTCCACTTCCGGGTTCGTCGCTGAGCACATGAAGGGCCCCCCATGCTCCTGTGGGATGCTCCATCCACCCCAGCACCACATCATTCACAAGCCATGCTGGTACCTCGAGGCATGTACAAAAAAAATTTAAAGCTGTGCCTGAATCGCTGATTCGCCGAATAAGCATCAAATCTTCAGCTTCGGATTGAGCTGAATTGAATCAGGGATAGCGATCTGAATCAATTAATCAAATCACTGTCCCCAATTTGGGCCGAATCTGAATCGAATAGGGCCTGCTTCACACACCCTTACTATGCAGGGATGGGAGAACGGAGCAGCACGCCCCGATGCCTGATCAGTGGGAATGCAGGGGGGTGGGCATTCTCCCACAGCTGTCCATCCTTAGGGCAAGGCCCCATACCCTTGCACTGACCCAGGGTGACTCAGGTCTGTCCACTGGCAGGGGCATTGGCAGAAACAGCAGGCGCTCC